GGGGAGGCGCGGCGCGCGGGCCTGCGCCCCGGCCGCGTGGAGGTGGCAGCTGGAGCTGAGCGGGGCGGCCTCGTCTCCCAGTCATTCCGCAGCAGGAGCTGCCCGAACTAGACGCCAGCCGCACACGGTTTTGGGGGGAGCAGCCCCTCAGGCGGGGCAGCAGTGCAGTGTTAGGCAACGCACTACGCTTGCGGAAATAAAACCTCGTGTGAGTGCTTTAAACGAGGACGTCTCCAGTAAGCAGAGAGGTAAAAATTAAGTACTTTCGGTTTCTTTGAACTCCTTGATGCCGATGTTTTTAAAAACTGCATTACTTATGCGATTCCATGAGACATTTTCTGTAAGACGATTTAGTGAGTCAGTTTCGCGAGCGCCTCCCTCTCGAGACTGAGGGATTTCACAGGCCGGCGGCGGCGCAGTTGCTTCTGGAGGCGGTTCCGGGGCGCTCCCCGCGCTCGGCTCCCCTCTACCCCGGGGCTCCCGTCTCCCTCTCGGATGTCCTCCTGGCACCTCCAGCTCCGCGGTTCTGAAGGAGCTCCTCAGGGACTTGGTAACCCCAGGCTGGCCATTCAAGAAGCCGGCCCCTGTCCACCGGGCTCGCCCGTCCTTCCCGACGCCTAGAAGATCGGCCGCCGTCGACAAGGCGGAAACGGGAAGGAACACGGGGGCCCACGCTGGAGCCGTTGGCTCCGGCGACCTGCGCTCTGCGTATTACACGGCGGAACATTTCTTGTTCCTCGAGGACACGTGCGCCGCGTTTTCCTCCTCTTCGCGGGCTGCGCCCAGTCTCGATGGAGCCTGGGGCAGCGCCAAGGGCTTTAGTTCCAGTGGGGTCAGTTCGCTGAGCCGTCTCGGTGCGATGGCTTCCAAACATGGAACAGTGCGGTTGTTTCGTCCCATCACTGCTGTTTTTCACCCCTTAACGACACCCAAGGGGATACTGGAACCTTCTGGTCAGTTTCAGTTACTAAGAATCAGAACATGTCAAAGCGTCAGTCCCTTGCCTCGAGTGGGACCCCAGGTCCTTAGCGAGGGTGGGGAGGCGCGAGTCGCGGTTCGGGCTCTCAGACGCTCCCTCCGGGTCTTCTTCGAGGCCTGGCTTCTGTGCTGAGGCACGTGGCTCGCACCTGGCCGGTGCTGGAGCTCTCTTAGCTGATTCGGGTTTCTCCGGGTAGCTGACCCTTGTTTGAAACTGTTCTCATGGGGCACGTGTAAGAAGGCCTGGTGACCCTTCTCGCCACGTTTCCACGGGAGGTCCATGCCCAGCTTGGTCTTCGCCGTCATCCCACTGCCGGCACCCAGCAGTACTGTACCCAGTCTCCTGGGCCAGGGCCCAACAAGACCATTTGTTTTCCACAGAGTCCACCTGACTCACGAGAAATACACATCCTTTCCACACAAAAGGGCTGGACTGGAGGATGCCCCAGAGCTTCTCCTCTCCCTTCTGCCATATGTCTTTAATCTTCCTGCTCCCTCCTGAAATAAATCAGCGAGAATGCCGGCTAGAAAGATTTGCAAGTAGGGACTGGAACACCAGCCTCTCCTTCCACGGGGTCCCACTGCTACTGAGGAGAGAATATTTTACAACCTCCCCCTCTGCATCACTCCCTGCCAGAAACACTGTCCTCTCGCCAAGGCCAGCCACCTCCTCTCGTTCCTTTCCCTGCGTCCTTGTATAGACTGAAAAGGAGAGGGTTGGGGAAATACTTCGTGGAAGCAGGGCTAGATCTGCATCTTATTAAGCCCTGGGGACAGTCAATTGTAGGCACCTTTCATTAGAAGATGGGGCGCTATGCTTGTTGTTTCCAGCTGAGCCTAGTGCTCATTCTGGGACGATAGAAGACGTCCCACTAAATATCTTTTGGTGGATGCTGCGATAATCTTCCCAGACCTTTATTTCAGGACTGAAGGACATGTTCCTGAGCTGCTCAGAGTTTGGTCTCAACAGCTTCCAGCTAAGTCTTTCTTCAAAAACTTGCCCTCAACTGAAGAGAACTGCTTTGCCCAAAGTCGTGGTCCCTTCTAGAGGAGCAGGCCACATCTAATGAGTAGCCAACCTAAAGACCTCTCTCACCTCAATTTGGAACAACTCTGAAGGACAATTCCAGCTCTAAAGTTCCCTAATTAGTGCATAGCAAATTACCCTAACAATTAGTAGTTGAAAACAAAACATCATCTGTGGGTCAGGAAATTATTGTGGCTTCACTGGGATTCTGGCTCTTGGTCTCAGCTGGTTACCATCAAGATGTTAGGGCCACAGACATGTGAAGGCTTGGCTGGGGCTATAGGGCCCAGTTCCAAGATGACGGCTGGAGGCTTCAGTTCCTCACCATGCGGGACTCTCCATAGGCTGCTCCAGAGTCCTCACAGCATGGCAGCTGACTTCTCCAGACCAGGTGATCCGAGGGAGGGCAAGCAGGGAGCTGCAGTGCCTTGTATGGCCCAGGCTCTGACTTTCACATTCCCTTTTCTTCTGTTCATTGGAAGGGAACAGAATTAAAGTGTGGCCTAAGTCCAGGCCACACATAAGGGAAGAGAAATTTGGCTCTACCGTTGGAAGGGAGCGTCAAAACTTTGTGGACATATTTTGAACCACTCTGCTCCCATTGGGGAACCTTGTGATTACATCACAGTTCAACTTTTCCTTCTGCCCAACTAATACAGCTTCCCTCACCCCCACCCCTCCACACCTGTTGATCTGGAGAGCACCCCTAATGTACTTCCTACACATGGATCTCCATCTCAGAGCGTGCCTCCTGGCAGCCCAACCTGCAGCAATCCTGTCACTAGCTTCCTGACTTGACTTCTCTGAGCCTCAGTTTCCCTCATCTGTAAAATGATCTTATAATGCCTCCATTACGGGGAAGTTGACGGGATTCATAACAGCTCATGTATTTATCAGCTACTTGCTATGGGCCAGGCACTGTTCTAAGCCCTTTAAATGTTTTAATTTATTCCATTCTCACAGCAGTCTTATAATTACAATTCCCTTACCTTGCAAAAAGAAAAAACTGAGGCACAGAAAGATTACTGTACTCGTCCAAGGCATTGTAGCAACTAAGTGGCAGCCACCCATGTTGATTCCAGAGCTCACATATGCTGTAAGTAGTCACTGTGCTGCACCTGTGTGCACAACACACCTGGGCTTACAGCAAGGGCCATGGGGTCTTAATTAAAAAACTAGCCAAAGGACTGCCAATCAAATGTGAAAATCAAGCAGGAGTACAATGTTACAGTCGAGTGATTTTTAGAAAAGGAACCGAGGTCATTTTATCAATTGATAATGAAGATACATTGCCTAAACCATAGCAGAACGGTATAGTGTATTAGTGTACTTGGGCTGCTGTAACAAGGTAGCACCAACTGGGCAGCTTAGAACAACCATTCTCTCACAGTCCTGGAGAATGAAGTCTGAAACGAGGTGTCAGCAGGGTTGGTTTGCTCTGAAGGCTATGAGGGCAGGTTCTGGGCCAGCCCTCTCTCCTCGGCCTGCTGATGGCCATCTTCTCCTGTCTCTTTACATTGTCTTCTTTTTATGTGTCTTCATCTTTACATGGCCTCCCTGTATGTGTGTCTGCCTGCAGATGTTCCCATTCTATAACGACATCAGTCATATTTATTAGGGCCACCCAAATGACTTCATTTTAAATTGATTACTTCGGCAAAGACCCTGTTTCCAAATACTGACACATTCTGAGGTACTGGGATTAGAACTTAAACATGAATTTGGCAGTGATAGTAAATTAAACCTGTAACACA